ATCGGGTGGGGAAAAAACATAATGCCAGAAAAACCGAGGGAGCTACATCAACTACGACTCCCAGGGTGCATTTCACCAACAGACTGCCAATCACAGAGCTCCGCAGTCTGAGCTTTTCTTACTTTCAGGTTCTGGATCAGTTTTCTGACTGGCTTCTTCTCCGTGGCAACAGCAGCTGAGGCTCATGGGAATTGTAGTATTTAGAGCTGCCCCCCAAAACGGACAAAATCTTTATTGTTTCTTAGAAACAAAATCTTACAAGAGAGACGTAGCATTAAGGAGAAGTTGCTGTGTGACCTCTGACCTCTCTTTGTTCCATCTGCAGACGAAGCGGGACATCCTGTCTGAGACCAAATACATCGAGCTGGTGCTGGTGGCCGATAACCAGGAGGTCAGTGTGTGTTTACAATGTGTGTGTGCTGCAGCCGATCATCATTCTCGTTATTCATTCATTTCAAAGTCATTAATTAACACTGGAACACGGTCTGACTGTCGGTCCTGCGTTTTTAATCTTTGATGTCCTCGAAGCATTTTTGAGGATGCAGCTGTCGGAAATCTTTGTTGTACGAGGTAGAATTAGTCAGGGCTGCACAATTAATGACATTTTTATCACGATTTTAGCTTCCAGCAATTAAATAAACAAGTTAATCGAGATTGTTGTGGCCCCCACAGCAGTCAGCCTGGGAAACACATTTGTTTTTAATTTCTTTTGTATTAGTTTCCTTGTTCTCGTTTTAATTTAAAGGCCGTCAGAGTTTTGTGGTTGAAATGAACTCGTGGTGATCGTGGTGTGCGATGCTAGCAGCGGCTAAAGTCGCCTGCAGCTGCAGACGTCTGAGAGTTCACTTCTTTCTGACTCCCACCGACGGGTTAGTTTCGTTTTCAGCGTCGTCGCCCGAGGACGTTACTCACACAGCTCCCTCCGAGGCACAAAAGGCTTCATACTTGCAGAATCTCCAACTATTTGGATAATCAGTTAATCGGTTTAGGCTTCTTAAATGTGAGTTTTTTTCGGGGGGTTTTCCTCCTCTATGACATTAAACTGAATATATTTGGGTTGTGATTAATTAAAGACATTTGGGGACGTCCCTTATTCACCATTTACTGACAGTTAATGGCCCAAACAACTATGTACATGTCTCGTTTTGTCCAACAGTCCAAAGATGTTCAGCTCTCTGTGGTAGAAAACAGAGGAACCGGCTGGAACTTGTTTCTTTGTACTTAGATTTTCTGCAGTAACGTCCTTTTGACACAAGATGGCGGCAGTTCATGTCCTTAAAAAACCTCAATGAGAAGAACTTCCTCAGCC